GCTTGGATTCGTTCCGTAACGCTGGGCTTGATCCTATCCCCTCCCCCTTATAACGCACCCTAACGCGTTACGGGGTCCTTAATAATAAATATCTCCATTTTTTCAAAAACTACACTTCTGCCCCTTATCCGCCTAGCCCCTCAATTATGTTACAGATTTGTAGAAGTCACAGTAATAAGCTCCGGAGTAACTAATTAACTCTGCAACAAAGATCCAAATAAAGCTTGCATGAAAGTCTTTCTCACAATGTGATGAATAATCCAAAACAGTGCCGCAAAAACTTTGAAACAGTAGCTCAACTTTACGCCAAATTTAATTGGGTAGAAAGTTATTCAGACGATAGAGGAAATTGATCGACTTCTCTGCAATCTGGCAACAACGACCTGTCCGGCTCGTCAGCGAAAGCTCCCGCCATGCGCGGCAAGCTTCCCTGTAAGTTTTTATCTCAAAGACTATAAATTCTCCGACTAATTCAATGGGCTCATTCACAATTTCGTCTCGCGTTCCACGCAACAGTTTCCTCGCAGCGCCCCCCCCCCCCCCCCCCCCCCCNTAATAATAAATATCTCCATTTTTTCAAAAACTACACTTCTGCCCCTTATCCGCCTAGCCCCTCAATTATGTTACAGATTTGTAGAAGTCACAGTAATAAGCTCCGGAGTAGCTAATTAACTCGGCAACAAAGATCCAAATAAAGCTTGCATGAAAGTCTTTCTCACAATGTGATGAATAATCCAAAACAGTACCGCAAAAACTTTGAAACAGTAGCTCAACTTTACGCCAAATTTAATTGGGTAGAAAGTTATTCAGACGATAGAGCAAATTGATCAACTTCTCTGCAATCTGGCAACAACAAACCGTCCGGCTCGTCAGCGAAAGCTCCCGCCATGCGCGGCAAGATTTCCTGTAAGTTTTTATCTCAAAGACTATAAATTCTCCGACTAATTCAATGGGCTCATTCACAATTTCGTCTCGCGTTCCACGCAACAGTTTCCTCGCAGCGCCCCCTCCCTCTCCTTCGAAGTCGAGAATAGAATCGTTTATTTAAAGTCTCTAAATTAGGTGGAAGCTTGAACTTTGTATCTCGCAAAGGCGACTGAGTCACTGCTTTTGAACTGCACTAGGTGTGCTTTTAAACGGGCGTATTCTGCCGTGTTAAGGAAGAACGCCGTATGAACCTTCAGGGGTTGCCAAATTTCCTTTGATAAAACGCAAATTTCCTGGTAAACTTATGAATATTTTCCTTCCAATTTTTCAGATAATTTTGTTTGCAATTTGTCCTGAAGCTCCTGAAAATTTCAAAGAAAAATATTTATAACTTTCCTTAAATATAAACATTTTATCGAAGGAAATGTGGCAACTCTCGAATGTTCTTACGGCGTTCTTCCTTAGCACGGCAGTATGAGACTGGAATCAACTGCAAATGAGAGGAGAGCGTATTTGAGTGTTAAATTTCCTTTATGCTGAATGGAGATCAAACGATTCAACATCCCGTTAATACCTAGAAAGTGTCTCAAAAACTTTTAGGGAAATTGCGATAATAAAGGACCTTTCATTAGTTCAACTCTTTGGGTCATATGAAATTTAAAAATAATTTTTCATAGTCTCCGCCGATTTCGTTTTAAACTGATAATAATTGAGTTTTGAAATTCTGGTAAGAGAAGAATTCAAATATTACAAGATGCGTTCTTTCATGATAAGTTCACCCTAATACACATCGAGCATGGAAAGATCAAGTGGATAAAGATGTTAGATCAATAATGTTTATTAGAGCGGTTAAATAGTATTATTAAAAAAGTATACACTTATTTAAACTATTAAATTTAAGATTGTTTAATTATAGTGTGCTTAACTAAAGACGAAAATAATTTAGCTAGAAATAAATACAAATAATATTACTGTCACGAGTTTTTCCTCTATTTCAAGTTTCGAAAGGAAGTAATTGGATCTCAATAACAAGAATTGGATTATGTTCTACAAATATTTTGTCACACCACTCCGAACCTAAGGCAGTAACATGTGTAAAACATTTTGTATCGGAAAAAGGCATTTAAAATTCTAATATACCATCCTCACCCTTCAAGGTAAAAAATTGTCGGATTATGATAAGAATTGTAATCCGTTTTTAGCATAAACATTAAATAAACTTCATTATAAGGACACTAGAGAGAGTTTTCTTTCAAAATAAAAAATAAACCGAGTTTTGGACCCAGCTCAACAAAAATCGCACCGCTAAAAATATTGCCTTCTTGGACAAGTCTCCCTATTATGATTACAAATAGAGAATCTGAGACTCAGAAATTCGAGTAGAACTATCAGAATATTCGACAAGAATATCACTGTTTTTTGGCAATTCAACTGCCGATTCAAAGCTTCGGAACAAAGCAAATCGAGGGATACAACTATTTGAACTTCGCGGTAATGTGGTATGGTATCATCTCTATTTGAAGGCGTTTTAATTTTTTGGAAGTTTCACTCGCTACTTGCCAACTCTTGCGTGATTGTAGGTTTCTTCACAAAGGCCGAGCCTTTGAAGCCGAGTCCTACGCTACTTAAATATGTGGGAATCATTACCACACAATGATAGGCTTTCTTATTTCTCGTGAACAAGAGAATAGAGTGCGACGCGAAGAGAGCAATATGCTTTGATAAGTCTCAGGCAGGTTTGTAATTTCCTCAACTTTTGAGGGAATTGCACTAATGAGCTTATATTCCACACTTGCAAGTAAAAAGAAAATTGGCACAACAATCCAAAAAAATGTCCGTATTGATAATCCCAGCTCGACGGGCGAGGAGTTTGCAAAATTGGTGTCACTACTCATTAGAAAATGTTTTTTCTTCGAATTTTAAATTTCAACCGAGAATACCGAGGGGAAGTCTTTATAATAAAGACTCCTAATTTCTTAGTTCAATTCTTTTTTACTTGCGCGAGCAGAACGCAGGGTCATCAAAGCGATCGCCGCATGAGTTGAAAAATTACAACTCTGACGAAGACTTATCAAAACATATTGCTCTCAACATTGCATCTCTATTCTCTTGTTCACAAAAAATAAGAAAGCCTATCATAGTGTGGTGATGATTTCCAAATTTTAAAGTAGCGTAATACTCGGCTTCAAAGGCTCGGCCTTTGTGAAGAAACTCACAATCACGCAAGAATTGGCAAGTAGCGAGTGAAACTTTTAAAAAATTAAAACGCCTTCAAATAGAGATGATACCATACCACATTACCGCGAAGTTCAAATAGTTGTATCCCTTAGGTTTGTTCCATTTCGAAGCTTTGAATCGGCAATTGAATCGCCAAAAAAGCAAACTGTGAGAGTTTTAGCTAGTGTTGGCACTACTCAAAGGCGTACATTCATTCTGATCCGGAAATTTTGTAGCACGGCACACGGCCCGGTAGACAAAAATTTCGAATAGCTTTTACTCGAGACCAATTTTTTCACAGTAGATAGAGATTTCTTCCTTCGGGAGCGGTCACATTTGTCTCACACTTTGTCGTGCCATAGAAATAAAATAATAATGAATATACCTAGATCAACTTTGTAATTCATGAGCAGAGGAAACAGTAGGTTGATTTCCCAAATGGTATTCGAGAAGTATAGAATTTGCCCCAAAACAATGTACTGCTTCATTTGAGTGCATAGTGAGTTGAATTCGCAAAAGTTTTAAAAAAAAAACAAAATTCTAAATTGAGAAATTGTGGAAAAATGGCTTTAATAGTGAGAAAATATGCCGCTTTGTGACGTCATCATTTCCCATTTAACCACATGTATTCTAGCAAATTAGGTTATTTTGTCACACTCCCTTCAAGAATTGTTCGATTTAGAAACCAAGGGTATCCTCGTGCTCAGTTCTCTCGGTAATTTCATTTTAAAGATGAAATTTACAAAATTTCAAACCGCTGAATTTTTTCCATTGTTGATGCGGAAGCCAAATAAGTTCTCAAACAAAATAATATCAATACCCGAGAGTCAAAAGGTACCCAACTCCGTTTTAGTCATTTCGAGATATCAGGGGAAAACAGCGCGTCGAGTCGGCCCCATTACTTCTTATGTAAATCACAACTTTTGAAACATCGTATCTCATAACCGGCCAAAGATAAAGGCTACCAAATTTTCAACACAGACGGTACCGCTAATGGAGTTTTCGAAACTGCATCTGACTCGATTTTTCCAAAAATTTGAGTTAGGTACCTTTTGGCTCCTGGGCAATGCTACGTAAATAATACAACTTATCAATAAATTCGCCAATTTCGTAATAATAGAGACGTCAAAGACAATTAGTCAAATCAGGCATTTTTTCAAATGCCTAGGCCGATAGTCAAATTTTGACAGTTAAAAGAATTCTGTAAATTAATGGCGAAGAGTTTACGGGTTTTCAATATTTTGGGAAGAATAACTCTTCAAATCCTCTCTTCTTGTTCCTTTCTTTTTACATGCCTTTAGTATATTTAAATGTTGAAATTTTAAAAATTCTATGTTTTATGACGTGCTGAAAAATTTCATGAGAAATATGCAGTCAGGATCTTAAAATCGTTTAAAATACTATTGTATGCTGCATATTTTTTCAGAGAATACTTTCTTACAGGGACAACTATTTATTTTGTCTAAAATTAGGGAAAAAATCAAAATTTTAATCTAAGTAAGAGTATTTGACTATTTGCCTACGCATTTGACGAAATGCTAGATTTGACCATTTGCCTTTGACAGAGATTCCCCAGAGCAAGGAAATCAGTGGCGTGGCGTGCTATGCGATATATAGATTGATTTGCCATTGGCACGTATGGAAAAGGATCGATAAACAGGGTGTTCGCAGCGAACACCTTAATGATCGATTTTTTAACATAGCTTCATATGGGATAATATCGATAATAATCGACGACTCATGCCTCGCCATTGAAGGAAATTAAGCAAATGCTTCCTCTGATCTGAAAAATACCATTTTTTTTCACTCACGTGTGCAGTATTTGAGTTCGTCGGAGCCATCCCCACATTCATTGAGATGATTGCAGACCTGGCTGAGTGGGATGCACTTGCCATTCTGACAGCGGAACTCGCTGAGACGACACGTCGCGTTCCCCGCCGAGGATGTGGCGTTGAGCGAGGCAGATTCGGGGTGAGTCGTGTGCTGTGACGTCATCGGGGAGCTCATCAGAACGCCAACCAGAGCCAGGCGCAGCAGGGCATCTGAAAACACACCACAGCCTCAATTAACAGGGTCCTGACATCGCCGCCGCCGCGAGTCGTTCGGAATTTTAAGTCCGCAACGAACCGTTGCCAATCATGACGCTTCGGGCCATCAAAGACTAACAAAAAATTGAGACCCAGCCTGCTGCGCTAAGGAAGAACGCCGTATGAGCATTCAATAGTGGCCAAATTTCTCTAGATAAAACCTGAATTTTTGAGAAAAGTTATGCTTATTTTTCCTTGAAATTTTCAGATATTTTAGATTGAATTGCGAACGAAATGGTCTGTAATATTTGACGAAAAATATTAACAATTTTTGCAGTAAGTTTGTTTTTTAAGGAAATATGGCAACGTCTGAAGGCTCATACGGCGTTGTTCCTTAGCACGGCAGCAGAGGTAATGCTGCTTCGTGGTCGGTTAGAGATTTGGCGGAAAAAATTCCCTAGCATCTGGTGTCCAACGGCAAGTCTCGTAATCAACTCCAAAACAAGATTAAGGTGTTAAAAATAATTAACATTTGTTAGGGGCAAAAATACAAATGACGTCATTTGTATAATGTAACTTCCATCTGATTTGTGTAAAATTTCTTGTTAATATCATGTTCAGGAGACGGTTTCCAAACTTCCCGCGGAGTGAGTCGTTATCTAAATGTGATTTTGAAAAGAAAACATGTGACGTTTTCTTCTAGTTTTGCGGGCTGATGTTGAAATTGATAGACAAATCGATAGACAAATAAGGCATTGGGAGTATGGATAGATCCTATTGGTTGAAATGTGTGGCGCCAATAGACTAAGGAAGAAAAGTATAGACTAACTATAAGGTCTCTCGTGGATTGCCGTTAGTCAGTCTATTACCTGACTCCTTTGTCCATTGCAAACACCCGCTTCCACCAATAACAACCCTCCATACCCATTTTGTCTTCTTTGTCCATAGCTTTGTCCATCAATTTCAATAATCGGCCCAGTGACTTTTAAAAAATTTACAGAGGAAAAATAATATTGATGCAATCGGATTTTTGCTTGAATCAAAAGGAAATCCACTTAGATCAAGAGGCTTGGCTCTCAATTCAAGAAAAAATTCGATTGAATCAAGAATATTTTTTTTCGTCAAATTTTTAAAAAGTCTGGACTCTGGATCCAAAAGACTTTTGTTCCAAAGCTATGGTTCGCTGACATCACCGACATCGACAAGTAAACAAAACCAGAAACTAAGAAGAGAGGATATCGACTGTCAAAGGTAGACCGTGTGTCGTAGGACTGAAAAGTCATTTTTCCACGAAGACATCAGAGATAGAGCAGAGCTTTGAATCGTTTCAGCTTCATATTACGCTCTTTACAGTTACGTGCTTAAAATGTGAATTTGACACATAACCGGCCGCAAAGATTTTCATGAAGTTTTAAAAAGGCATAATCAATTAAGACCATGAAACAAATGTTGATAATGTTGGGAAAGATTTTTAATAAGTTTTGTTGGAATGCTGGACTTTGATAAAAAAAAAGAAAAGAAAAAAAAAAACTCGGCACACGGAAGAATGTAATTATCTGAATAGACAACCAACATTAGACGCGTCCAATATGACGGTGTTATGCCAGGCAAAAAGGCGAGAATACGTAATTTAAAATAAAAAACGAAAAATTATACTTTAATTACCTTACTGCATTATTGAAATACTGCAGTTAATGTAGGACTTATTTCCTGTCAAAAATAATGAGAGTGAACAGTGTCTCGGCGTTCAAGTGGGCAACCCAGCGCTGGCTTCATAGACCGGCATTCCATTATTCTTTAAGATGCTTGAAGCGTGCACCAGCTCTTTATTCAGCTGACTTTAATTTTGCCTTTAAAAAGATTCCTGACACTTTCTGAATACTTGATGTTCTGCAGTTAAAAGAAAAGCGAGTGCTGTTAATGATTTGAATGCATCTCGAGCCTCAATAAGCAAAATGTGTCGGTATGTATCAATGTGAAATAGCTATGAATATTCGATATTTTTTTTCCTTAGAATTTGCTTTTCTGTATGCATATTTTAGAAATTATTTAATAGATCATTCCAATTTGAACCTGCTCAATTTGAGGCAAAAACCAATCCCCTCAAATTCTATTTACTTTGAAGAAAATCGATTGTTCTTGGCTCCTTCCGATGTGGCGGGATTTTAGAGATGGTCTGGATGCAAGCACCTGTACGTTTTAAAGTTTTAGGGGGGTTCTAAGTTCCTCTCTGCCTAACTCTGCACATCAGATAATTTGAGATAATTTGTTAAAACCTGAGATAATCGGTTATACCTAAGATAATTTGATAAAACTTAAGAAAATTTGCGATAACCTAACTAGTCTGTAAACAAACTGATCTGTTAATCTTCGTTGTACCCATTGTGACCTGTACCCAGCGTAACTTACCATGGCTAAAGTATAGCAATAAACTGAATTTGAAATTAAAATTTGAAATCAGCTATTAGCCTTAGCAACATCGACTATTGCCGAAAACTGAGAAATTTAACTTTTTACATGAAAACGGTTTTGCGGATTTTTAGGCAAATTTCCGTGAATTTTCTGCATACTACGAAGCAAATTCCTTAAAATTTTCAAAGGAATCCCCCCAAACGTCCTCTTGTAAAAAATTAAATTGCCGAGTTAAAATTGGCAATAGCTGGAGTGGCTTGGTTCCTTTCTGCTCAAAGCGGACAAAATGCACCATTGCCACCATGCACCATGCACCTGTACATTCTGACTCTGCCTCAGAGTTCGACTCACCCATAGGATTTAATAATCCACAAGTTAAAATGTATATATAGTCTAGTTTAAGTGTACTTCTAAAATGTAAATTACTTAATACTCTATGTAGGCGTAATTCAAGAATAAATTTAAAAAAAAAAAAAAAAAAAAAAATGCACCACACTCGAGGGAACTACGAGCGAATAAAGAAAGTGTATCGATAGAGGGGAGGAGACCGAGGGAGGGGGTCTCTGGCTCACGAGGAGTGAATCCACCACGGTTCATTTGGACATATTTCTATCAAACGGAACTAAGCGCCAATTTGAGTTCCTTTTGAAGAATTTAGAATCCCGGATGGCGCGTTCTGTCAAACGGACCTAAGCGCCATGGAAAAGCATTGCGAGTATAGGACGGAATAAGCCGGACGCCCGATTCCGCCGCCAATCCAAGCCCCCCTCTACCTTTCTCACCCTATGGCGCTTAGGTCCGTTTGACAGAAATACGTCCATTTAACACCAAATTGGACGTATTTCTATCAAACAGAACTATGGGCATTATGACGTGAGCCCTGCTATGCACATATTCCTATGGGTCTCAGGGCTCATGTCTCAATGCACATAGTTCCGTTTGATAGAAATACGTCCAATTATCATAACCACACGTTATTTTAACTCGCACTAATTGGGACTCATACGACTTAGGAATTGTGGTGGAAATGAACTCCCAGGTTTTTAACAGTGTAATTTGCCGCAATATTATAACATTTGATGATTGGATTTTTCTACCATGAATCTAAATAAAAACCCAATTTTCTGTTCGAGCCACCCGGGGAAGATATTTAAATCGAAAATCCGCACCGAAGTCTACTTCATCGAATTACGCTCCACCCGAGCGTGGCGTAATCGAAACGCAGGCATTACTGCCGTGCTAAGGAAGAACGCCGTATGAACCTTCAGGCGTTGCCAAATTTTCTTTGATAAAACGGAAAATTCCTGGTAAATTTTTGAATATCTTCCCTCCAATTTTTCAGATAATTTAGTTCGCAATTTAATCCAAAGATTCTGAAAATTTAAAGAAAAATATTCATAACATTCCTAAAAAATGAAGATTTTACCTAAGGAAATTTGGCAACTCTCGAATGTTCATACGGCCTTCTTCCTTAGCGCGGCAGCATTATGAGTACATTTAGAGGTGTCGGTGGGAGGAAGCTAATGCCCTTACCCACCCTTAATGCTCTCTTTGTCAGGATCCAGCTTTTCCCGGACAAATTGAACGGTAGTTATGGATTATACCTCGAACGTCGCAAACTCATGAGCCTTGGCTCTCACCCGGCTTGCGAGCGCCGGGGCTCACGAGTTCTAAGTGCTCGGACTGTTACTCATTTCCACCCTTCAATTGGGTTTCGCGCTCGAGTTGACCGCTTAATACCTAAAATGGCGCCGCGATGAACACGTCGGAAAAACGCACCTGAATTTCGAAGTTGAGCCCTAGAGTTAATTTAGTTCCACACGTTCCGGGGTTCGTTCGAGGATTGGTTTGCGTTTCTTCGTGGGCAGGGCGAGGGATCATCCTTTGATTGCATCACAGGCGCAATAATTTGCAAAGTATGCGCTGTAAAAAAGCTCCGACTCAACTTCAATGTTCGCTCAGCTGTTCTGCCAGGCTCAGGAAAAACGTCGTATGAACCTTCAGGCGTTGTCAAATATCCTTTGATAAAACACGAATTCCCTGGTAAACTCATGAATATTTTCCTTTCAATTTTTCAGATAATTTTGTTCGCAATTTCAACTAAAATTCCTGAAAATTCCAAGGAAACATATTCACACCTTTCCTTCAAAATGAACATTTTATCGAAGAAAATTTGGCAACTCTTGAATGTTCATACGGCGTTTTTTCTCAGCACGGCAGTCTTCTGAGACCGGGCAACCCCCTCCGCCTCCGCCCGGTTTTGGCAGAGCGCCACGCCGCCCCGCGCCGCACAGTAGATCGAGTCAATAGGATAGCTCGGACAAAATTTAGAAACTTTAAACGCTTAAAACCCCGTTTATACGAAACTTTGAGGTTCTAAAAGTGGCGCCATCGGTTTTCTCGTGAAATTTGCTACTAGAGGCACTCCTTATAATTTCAAATGTGACGAAATAAACATCAAAATTTGCACTTTTGGTCAAAAATTTCCTGTCCGACCTCACTAATTGACTCGATCCACTGTGCGCCGGCCGGGGCAATGGTCAATAACTGTGTTTTCGGAGCGTCAGACTAAGTGGACGTCTCTCTGAGGGTCCGACGAGTCT